AAAAGATCTTATTTATTTCTTTGACAGAGAGAGACACAGCAAGAGAGGGAACACAAGCAGGGGGGTGGGAGAGGGAGAAGAAGGCTTCCTGCGGAGCAGGGAGCCGGATGCGGGGCTCAATCCCAGGATCCTGGGATCATTATCTGAGCCGAAGGCAGACGCTTAACGACTAAGCCACTCAGGCGCCCCAAACAGGGTTAGTTCTAAAGAGCTAGGTATTCCTCTTTCTCACTGTTGGTTCCCTTAGTTTGTTCTTTGCCTTCTGAACTTGGTACAAAAACAGCATCACGATGATTTCACTAAGAGGTCTTCACACAAGGCAAACTGCCCAAGCTTTTACATGGTTAGTGATACCTGTTTTTAGACCATGGTGCTTTATCCTTACCATCTTGACTTCTTTTCAGCATCTTCCATCATTAAGCTTGAAACAAGAAAGATTGCCAAGATTTTGTTTAACTTAAAAAAATTCTTTTTACCTGGAAGGAGCCACCCCCACTATATTGGGACCTAATCCTCTGAACAAGGAACGAGGCCCTTCTTTTTCCAAGATCACTCTGAAAGAGAAAAATATTTAGAAAGGAATGTCCTTCAAAGTCTAGTACTTTATTTGTATAGCAAACTTAAGACTTTTAAACCTGTATGTTTCTGCTATAATGTTGTACTGCTCTGGTCAGTTTTTCTTACTTATGAAAATCTGTTTTTCTTGACATAGCATAAGTTGATAATCCTAAATGATAATAAAAAGAATCCCAATCAGATTCTTTTTTAAAAGTTTTAAAAACTACAGTATAATTTCTACATTTTTATATAATCATGCTACTCTTATCTTCAATATCCTCCATTTTACAATCTTTACCAGCAAATTCAATTCCCAATCAGAAATGTAGTTCACAGTCTAGTATTTGAGGTCCTTTCTTGATATCAGACAACTCTCTCAGTAATACAGCATTATCTCATTCAACCATTCCAATGAAATGGTGTCAAAATCTGGCATGCTAACCTCCTTTAGGGTACTAAAATGGTTAGCCTGTTACCATTTCTCCCTCTATTCAGTTAACATTTACTATACTGAATACTTACTGTATAAAAACTAAGCAGAGTAAAAAGACAGAAAAGGTGAGACACCTGCCATTGAGAAATTTGATGTACAGTTGTGGAAAAAAGAATTATATTGAAACAAATAATTCAAAAGACTATATTAATAAGCAAATACTATACAAGCTAGATACATATGCCCAGCAGGGAAAGGAAGAGGCATGTCTAAGTCATGGAAGGCTTTCTGAGAGTTATTAAATTAAGCTTGGAAGTGAGAAGAAACAAACTGGAAAAAGTAAGTATTTTAACTTAGAGTTAACAGGTTAGAGCAGTGGTTCTCAACCACCTATATGCTTAAGAATGATTTCTTTAAAGACAGTTGAGCATAACGGTTAAATAAGGGCCTGAGATTTGGGGCTAGACTTCTTAATATGAAGACCAATTTTGGTAAATGACTAGCTATAAGAACATAAGATAATAACTTTTATCTTATCCTTATTTTCATCAGCATTAAACAGAGAAAAACAGTACTCTTTTTCTGGGTTGCTGTGAGGAATAAATAAATTAATATATAAAGAACTTAAAAGATCATCTGGCTCCCTGTAAGTACTTGATAAATCTTAGTATTATGATTACTACTGGAGCATTTGTTTAAAATGCCTATTTCTCCGATCTCACCCTCCAAGTATTCTGATTCAACAGATAGAGGACAATGCTCAGTAATTTGCATTTTTACCATCCTTCCAAACTGACTGACACAGGTGATACAGAACCATTTCTGATAAAACCAGATTAGACAGAAGCAGAGTTCGAAATAACAACTTATAGAGAACATTTTGAAGATTCAGTGTTTGTTAAGACTTTTCTGTATCATAAATCTCTTTGAAGAAGGTGGCTCAGATGGTTAAGCGTCTGCCTTCAGCTCAGGTCATGATCCCAGGGTCCTGGGATCGAGCCCCACATCGGGCTCCTGGCTCAGCGGGGAGTCCGCTTCTCCCTCTCCCTCTGCTTCTCCCACTGCTCATGCTCTCTCTCTCT